GAGGCGGGGGGCCTCGGGGCACGACGGTGGTACAAAGTGTGGAATGCCAAGCACAAATTGTAACTTTTTGCGCATCAATGATCACTGGACTTTTAATTTATTTTTAAAAAAAAAAAGAGGTGATAGGTGTGGAGGTAGATTTGTAAATAAGCCGCACGCTTTTTAATATCTAACCATTGCAAGCTGCAACGCCCTGATGAAAGACCAATGTGTACCTTTGAAAACTCAAATCCAAAATTTAAATGTCGTATTAATGTTTCTGCCACTAAATTATTACATTTATAAATCAAAAATTTAATATTTATTGACAATTGAAGTCTGCTTTTACATAGATTATGTTGGATCCTTCGCTCCACTATAGGTGAAAATCTAATAAGTTGGCCATTTATGCTTATTTGGTACGGACGCTTGTGCACATGTTAATCCATTTTGGGAGAAGGATAAAAAATGCCCTTAAACTATGTGAAAGGAACAAAAATGTCCTCCGTTTATAGTTTGACTCAAAAATGTCATTACCATCAATACTTTTGTTCAGAAAATCAACTTCAACCTAATTCTCTATTTTACTCTCTAAAAATGAATCTACTTCTCTCTCCTTAATATTATATAATTATTTTCATTTCATTTTTATTTCCTTATTTCATAATATAAATAAAAAAATTTCAAATAATAATCTATATAATCTTCATGTAATATAAAATTTTATTTTTTTCAAATTCTTCATTTAATAAAAAATTATTGTATTCTAAATAACATAAATGCGATAAATATTACAGCAAACAATTCAAATCAAAATAAAATTATTGATGAACTACAATTATATCATAAATATTGCATTATCGTAAAAATTATTTTCAATTTTATATAAATATTTAACTTTCAAGATTGTTACATATCTCTCATAAATGCTCTATTAATACATTACGAAGTTCTTTAGATTAACGATTGCAATATGTATCCAATTATTTTGTATACTAATTTACTTCCCCTATTCCATTTTAAACTATTGCATCAAGTATTTTCATGCTCATTAAAAAGTGTAGTTTAATCACTT